TGAATGGAGGTGTCAATGTCAGTTTACAAGCTCAAGTTTGCATGCTGAAATCTGCAGGAAGTCGCTTCAAGTTTGCTCGTCAGTTATCGCGTCGTAGAGAGGCATTACTTCTGAAAGGATATTTATGTCTAGAGGCAATGAATATCAAATTTTCCAGTGGTGCTCCTGGCTGTACCACTCCAACATTAAATCGAAAGGTACGGATGTACCGGTACCAACTGAGCTACAGCTGTACTACGTACTGTAGTACCTTAAAGCGTTTGACGCATTACAGCTGTAGCTCAGTTGGTACATCAGCAGCGTAGATAATCGAAATTAGATCGTAGTCAGTCTCATGTCCACGTATCGTTTGTGTTTGAGTATCCAATGAAATTGTTTAGGTCATGGGAGTAGTATGTCTCATTGGAACTCTACGTTATTGTGATACGCCGTTGGAAGAGGTGCCTAAGCCCTCGCTGCAGTGTACTTCATTTCTGCCCCCGCTTCTCCCCATGTTTATTGCGTTTGGGTACATCTTGGCTGCGAGTGCGTCGGACGCGATAGTGGTCGAGTACGCCCAGCAAGAACCTGTTGCCATCCCTTGCCGCATCCAGAATCCAGACCGCAATCTACGTCATGCGCTCGCTCGCAGCATCTCGAGTATTGGTGACTGCATTTTCGCTGGATGTAACAGACCCACAGGCGGCGATAACGTACCCAAACGTAGCAAACGTGAATAGCACGACGAACAGAGTGCGTTGGTTGGAGGGGCGTCCAGGATGAGGTGCTCGAGGTCGACCGTCGGGACCATTTCCAGCGGAGTGCCACAATACTTGATATTTTCGCGGTTGAAGAACAGCTCGCCAACGACGAAAATTCATGATAATCAGACAGCTTGTCGTGATGGCCCGTCCGATCAACATCCACGGCTTGTGCTGGCAGTCAAAGATGGGGTTTGCCTTTTGGGGATGCAGCAAAAACCACCAACCCCAACGACGCCAATTTGCACGCGTACACGAAATTCTACACTTACGTGACATCATCCCCGCACGTCGGTGGTGTCTGTCGCTCTTGAGGTGGTTCTGGGACACCTTGAAGAACCAGGCGACGTACTTGTAGACAATACCGTCAAATGGGCTCACCAGGTTGTTGATCGTCGTGATCAGGCCAGGGCGTACGTGGCGCTGGCACTTCCACCGCCACAAACGTGGCCAGCGGGGACGTTGTCGGCCAGCGCCATGCCTTTATAGTACAGTACCACCACTGGTTGCGCACGACGTCCCTGAGTCGCTTTCAAGCAATGCTTGACTTCAAATGATGTCAAGCCCGTCGACGAGGATCACGTCGATGCCCACATCGAATGTTCACCGCTCATTTCACTACAGCTCCCATCACGCCACCATGAGCCAGAATTCCGTCACACCTTGCTTCTTACACACGATTGGCTATAACACAGACAGAAGATGTTACAATTTTGACGCTTGAATTTTGTAGAGCTATGTGTGATAGTACTCCAGAGAATTGTGCACTGATGAGTTCACTCCGACTATATCCAATGTGGTTCTCCATTCCCAAATATACCTGGTAACCCACAAGTGGGTCGCGGCGCCCCGAGCACACCAAAGGATACATCAACGAACATGCCCTCGCTACCGCCGGACCCCGGTAAGCTGCAGGCAAACAACCTGACACTGTCAGTCCCCGCGACCATGCCAACCCACATGGCCACCGTTTACGTGCAGCGCAACGGCGTCCCCACAGCCATCCTTGTGCCGGCTACGGGCATCATCCGCCAACCTCATCCGAAAACGACTCTGCCTCCGATACCACAGAATGCCCGGCCGACACACCGCTCACCGCCCCCAACTACGGTCAAAACGTGCAGCGGACAAGTTCCTGGCTCGCCACGACCGCCGCAGCACCAAACGGGCTGCTCCTCGAAAGTTGCATGCACATCCACGATCCACCCGGCCAGGCACAACTAGTCCCACACCAGATATCACACTACGCACCCACCAGGCCACCCCTCTCTCAGACGACGACCGGCTCATCCGCCCCAGATTGCCCCATGTCTCATACCCCTCCCATCGCACGGGCAAGGCTCCGCCAACCCTGGATAGTCCGCATACGCCACGCTCTCCGGCTCCTGTAGCCCTCCCCCTTCCAAGCTGGCCAAAGGTCCCTCTACACAAAGCTCCCTTCCAGACATCTGGCGGCAAACCGCTACTACCTGTGCAGCCACAACTCGCAACACTCTGGCACCCCATCCTAACACTCTTCCAAGCGACACCGCACCCATCAATGCACCCATTACTGCCCTCCATGGGCCTTCCGCTGCACCCACCCCTCCCATCCCATCCCATGGGCCACATCACTCACAGCCACCCCAGCACGCCGACACTGCCCCGTCACCCACGCGAGCCGGTCCTCCCTCAGTCCGCGCA